AGAGTAAGGTAGAGGCTGATGTCTGGCTTGGATCGTTGAGTGCATGGTGACTCCTTATTGGGAGGAAAACATTTGAGAGAAACTATGAGGTCAGTTTGAGACATGATTGGTATATCTCCCTCCAGTATCCAAAGAGATGGTATTCTAGTCTATAACTCCGTGGCTATTGGTATGCACTTAGTCGAATCATCAACAACCACATAATTAGAATATTGAGAGCACATGAAAGTTTCCAGAAAGAGGAGGCAGAGAAAGAAGAGCTGTGGGTCAAGGATGGAGTTCTGAGGAACATGTGAGGATGAGCTCATAATGGAGACTACAATGGGAACACTTGGACAAATAGGAGGAAAACCAGGAGGGACAGGGTGGGGAGGTGTATACCTTAAGTGGTAGGCCAATAGCACCGAGGGCATCAGAGAAAGGAACTGAGGACTGAGAACAAGGGAATGGAACATAATGAAGAAAAGACTTTTAAAGAACTTTGCTTGAAAAGGAAGAACACAAATCAGGTGAGAACTAGAGACTTACACAGGATCCATGGAGGGGCTCGAGGGGTGGCAGGGACTTGCACAAGGCTATAGGCTGCAGCTGAAGAACTGGCAGAGTGAGGAGATAATTGAAGGCTCTAGGTCCCTGAGGAGAGAGAAGATGGGGAAAGGCTGGCCTAGAATGGAACCTGATTTCCCTGATGCTCTGAGATTCACATACTAAGTACATAAGGTTTTCTTTGTCTATGACAAATGGAGACTATCCATGATACAGAGAAATGTATAGATAAATATATATAGACAGAATGCTATATAATCTTTTTTTCTTTTCAATTCCTAACATTATTATGTATTCAAAGATGTCAGGAGAATGATGATCCCGCCAGGCCACATCAAAACCAGCCAGGCCACACCTCAAGCGGTCAGGCCTGTTGGCAGTTTCCTAGGGTAGCAGGCTGCTTTCTCGCCCTTGCCCGTATGCACTGTGGCTTTGACCAAACCCCCTTTGTGCAGACTTCCCTTTGCCCTCTGCTCCTCCATGAGTGAAATAAATGGGTTAGATTAAAATTCAGGCAGCAATGTATATGTCCATCAACAGATGAATGAGTAAACAAATTGTTGTACAGTTGTGCAATTCAATATTACCTAGTAATAAAAAGGAATGGACAATTGATATGCTCATCAACATGGATGAATCTCCAAATAATTACTCTGGGTAAAAAAAAGGAAAAAAGCCAGACAGCCTCCTCCCAAAAAAAATAATGTAAAGTATATGATTCTACTTATATAAAATTCTACAAAATGCAAACTAATGTTTGGTGACAAGCAGATCCGCTGTTGCTTAGACATGGGGGAACGGGTCATGGAGAGGAGTTGGAAGGAGAGATTACAAAAGGAAATCTGGGGCATGAAATATGTGTTCATTGTCTTGATTGTGGTCATGGCCTCACAGGTATGTCAAAAGCTACCAAGTTGTGCACTTTATATTATATGTCAATTATACCTCAATTAAGCTGTAAAAACATATAGTCACAAAGTGATCTTTAGGTGACTTCCAACTGACTTCAACTCCATTTTCTTTTTCATGATTTCCTCTTTGATCTCTTTATAGAACTCGCTCTAGGAAACATCACTAGCCCCAAGCAAATATCCTTTTGTTGTTAGATTTTCCCAACTGAAAACAAGAGGGGGAAGTTCTAAGTAAAACCCTCTTAATAATGAAGGATATAGTTCACTCCTCTTTCCTAAGTTCACCAAAATCTTGTGGGGTCAAATCCTGGAAGACAACTTTTATTCTCCGTTTAGAGCATAAAGTCAAGAAGAAAAAGCAAATCTTGTGATATAAATAAACTGGAACCAAATATTTTAAGAGTTGCCTGGTTCCTTTGGGCGTAACTCACGTTATTAATCAAAAGAGCTCTCATTATGAAAGCAGGGGTTTCTTCTCTCTTTAGAGTGGCAAGTCTCACCAATTAGCTTGTTTGAGGACTAAACAAGCTGCAATCCAGGGACAGGAAGATGTGGATGGCTGTGGTGGGAGTAATTTTTTTTAATCCTGCTTCAACCTACAAATACAAAATGAACTGGCCCAATTTAAAGTTTCACAATTTCTGACCACTGGTCTACATTCCTAAAAGGTTACAGGTAAAATAAATGTTGTAAGTGTGTGTGTGTGTGTGTGTGTGTGTGTGTGTGTTAGGTTGAATCATAGTTTTCTAATTCATTTACTATAATGAAGAAACAGACTTGGGCCACATGTATCTGCCTTCGCAATCTACAAGCTTGGTGATCTTGGGCAATCCTTAACTTTTCTAAGCTTCAACTTCCTCCTCTAAAATGGAGTTGAACTCAAAGGGCTGAGCTGAAGGTTATATAAAACAAGAAAGGCGTAGGGTCTGGTACATAATACTTAATAATGCTTTATGAAATTTGTATTGTTGAGGTATAATTTCACTTGGTAATTACTCAATACCACATAACTTTGAGTTTACCTTTCTCTCACCTTCTGTTACATTAATAATCTGAATCCACAAACAGGTAAGAACACATTAAGGGAATTTGCTATTTGAAACAATAGCTAATACAATGAACCTTTAAAAGGTGCCAAACATTGTACATGCTTTTCTTAATCAGTCATATAACCCTAAGAACAAATTCATACTATTATTGTTACCCCATTTTACATATGAAGAAACTGAGGCACACTAAGTGATTTACCAAGATCTCACGACTGATAAAAAGCTGGGGGAGGGAGTGGATTTAAATCCTGGCAGACTAACTGTGGGATATCTGCTTAGTAACTATACTGCAAGTTTTTTTAATAGGTTTTTAAACACTTTTGTTAAATAAATCATGACAGGCTTACCTGCCTGATAACTTTGCACACTGAGTCATAACCATCACAGGTTTCTTAAGAAATGGATTTTTCAGAAATTATCTACTAAAATCCAACCCCTGCCTCTAGGCAAGGCCACAACTAAACAACTCAAGCCTGGTTTAAAAAAAAAATTTTTTTTTAATTTTAAAAAGCTGGCCTGAGAATAAAATTCTACTTCTGCTCATAGTCCATTACTAAGTTTAATAGTCAGGAAATGCTTAAGCTACAACTTAACTTAAACCCTTTATGCTTCAGGTTGAGCCCATTCCTTGGGCCTGATAAACCCCAATATTTCCATTTCTCTTATTCATTCACTCAGCTTTAAAATTAAACATCTATTCAGCATACAGCTGCGTTACATCACTGATCAAGTTCTGAAGGATCAATCAGGAGATTGGCCAACTGGGGCCTAGGGGTGGGGGGTGAGGGGGAATTGTAGGAACCAAGTGGGGAGAGGACAGGCCGTCATTTATAGAGGAGGTGAGCACAGAGCTCCCAGGCCACACCATGCAGCCTGCTAGTGTGAACTTAACCATATAATCCTGAAACTTTCCAACACAAACTCACCCACAACAAACCCAGGGTGATTCCCAGCGAATCCCAAGCAGCCATGCCTGGAAAACCAACAGTTTCCTTTTTCCTGGATCCTAAATCTAGCACCACCAGCTTGTCATCTGCCCTGTATACAAGCTTTTCACTTGCTGAAGGCTGTAATTATGGGGACTCTTTCTCTTCCGCAAACAAAATAACTTCAATGGCTGACTTAGAAATGTCCCAATACTATGCTGCTGAACGGTGGAAGCTTTTGTGGACCACCTGCTGAGGCCCTTACAGTGAGAGACACAAAGCCTGGGTCCTGGCGCTGGTTCCACTGTTCAGTCTGTTTACTAAGCACAAAGTCTGTGTTTACTAAGCATGCTGAGGGAAGAGCAGCCTCTGGCCTCAGAGGACTTCCAGTCTAGCCAGTGAAGCGAGGGGGTGCACAGCCCCTGGACCTGCGGCAGGAGTTACCGAGGCCATTCATTAAGCTCCTGACGTTCAGGAAGCACCAAGGAGGCTTTCATCCACTGCTACCTTCGCACCTCACTCAATTCAGAACTTCGTCCACTAAAATTGGAAGAATAATTCCTCCTCAATCTACTTTATGATGCCGTTGGGGACCTCACTGGCCGACGCTCCTACAAAAGCATAATAAAGGACAATTGAAAGCGAGGACTGTTCATTAGTGACGGTGCTAATCTGCACATTTAAAAGATGTTGCATGGAGCGGGGCTGCAGAAGAGCGGCGGGCAGAGGGCTAAAAACTGTTGCGAATCCCTGTTACCTGCTCCAGAAAAAAGAAAGGAAGGAAGGAAGGAAGGAAGGAAGGAAGGAAGGAAGGAAGGAAGGAAGGAAGGAAGGAAGGAAGGAAGGAAGGAAGGAAGGAAGGAAGGAAAAGGAAGGAAGGAAAAGAAAGAAAGAAAGAAAGAAAGAAAGAAAGAAAGAAAGAAAGAAAGAAAGAAAGAAAGAAAGAAAGAAAGAAAGAAAGAAAGAAAGAAAGAAAGAAAGAAAGAAAGAAAGGAAGAAAGGAAGAAAGGAAGGAAGGAAGGAAGGAAAAGAAAGTCTTTTGACCTAATGGGGAGGAGAATCCAGAGCAATCTCCAGAGCCAAAACGTCGGAAAAGGGCACGCTCAGCACCACCTCACCCCCTGAAACCCTAGACCAAGCTTGCAGCCCGCCCGGGCCTTGTCGCGGGCGCCCCCTGGCGGCCGTCCGGGGACACTGCTCGTCCGGAGCGCGGGGCGGGGCTAACGGAGGAGCTGGGGGGGGGGTCTTCTCGCGTGAACTAAAGGCGTCATCGCCGCGACCGGCCCGGAAGGAAGTGGCGGGCGGAGGGGTGTGGCGGTTTCTGCGGTTGTGAAGGGGGTTCGGACGGGTACGGAGCGCCTGGAGGGACACCCGGTACGCGGCCCCCGCCCCTTTAGTGCGTGCATTGGGCCCAGCTGCTGCACCCGGGCCCCCCCTGCAGCCTCTGTCCCCCCGGAGCGCGGCAGCAACCCTCTCTCTCCCGAATCTCTCTCTCTTTCTCTCTCTAGCTCCCGAGCGGGACCGGGCAGAGGCGCTGGGAGCCCCGACCCCTACCCTGAGCTCCGGGGATGCACGGGCTTCTCTCTAGGAAGGGGCGCGCGGTGGGACGGGGGTGACATCCGAAGGGAAGGGCTTTTGCGGAAAGGACGCAGCTGCAGGTCCGTGGCCGGAGGCCGCCCAGATGAAAGGAGCGCTTCGCAGGTGCGCGCGCCCCGCTCCTCTGAGCCCCACGAGGCGGAACCCCGCCCCGCGCGCGCTGGCTCGGGCGCCCTGGCTGTGAACTTTGGTGCCAGTTGCCCTGGTTGTGCCAGATCGTTCAGGGTTCCGGAAATGAGTCTCTGGATGCCTAGTCTTTTGCATCCCGGTGCCCGAGCACAGTGGGACCCAGTGGTCCAGAGTCTTTTCAGCCCGGGGGACTCCCTTTCTCTAACCCTGAGCTTGCAAAGCACTGGTCAGGTGCATAGGAGAGAGTGTGGCTTCGGTGTTGATGAGGGCCCTCTCCCATTTAGGACCCAAAGGGAGTAACCGGGAAGGTGGACCAAAGCCAGAGAACCCCACCTGGGACCTCGGTTTGCATGCTGTCTCTGCCGCTCCAGCCTTTGAAAGAAGTAAATAATGGTTTCCTTTGAAGTGGCAGGCAATTAGGAGCGGGGGAGGCTCCGACCAGAATTACATGCCACACAACTGCCTGTCATTGGACTTCCTCTTTAATTTGCGCCAACTGGCCGCAGCTGCCTCCTTCCCTCTTACCAGCATGGGCTGCTCCTGTGACAGCGCGTTGCTGTTCACAGGAAGGGAAGGCTGTGTTCTGAACGTTGCCCAGCTGGCACCGGCTCTTCCCTGGGGCTGCGGCTTGTGTGGAATCACTGCCTCTTCCGCGAGGTGGGGACTGGAGCGCCACGGTTAGGGAATGGCAGTGGGGATGGAGGGCGCTGTGGATCTGGCCTCGTGCTCGCACAGCAGGCTATTAGATGTGAGCCAGGGAGCTCAGCTTGGTGCGGTGCCTCTCGCTGTCACAGCTCCTGTCCTGCAGGGCAGACCAGACACGTTTTCCCATATCTTTTTCCCTAGGATACAGGTCCACGGATGGCTCAGTTGGGAGCGGTTGTGGCTGTGGCTACCAGTTTCTTTTGTGCAGCTCTCTTCTCAGCCGTGCACAAGATAGAGGAGGGGCATATTGGGGTGTATTACAGGTAAGGCAGAGACAGGGAGGAGCTTGCAACTTTCTGTGAAATGACTCCTTCCTAGTCACTGTCTAGCAGATTCTGCTGAATGTCTATGTTTATGTATTGTTGAATATGGAAGTCTTTTGGTTGAACTTTTGTGTTAGTGACCATGGGTATGGGGAAATACAGGTGTGTGCGTGTGCGCATACACACACAAATGTAAATATGAAACTTAGTAGTCTAAGTTGATGGATGGCAATTGATAACTGTATATAGAGATTCAGACAAAACCTAAAGGCAGCCAGAGCTCCTTGCAGATTATCTCTGAAACGTTGTTCTCTCCTACATCCCTGTCAGCATCTTGGTGCCACAAAATTCCCTCTGCTGAGTACCAGTTCTTGATGGCAACTTGAGAAGCTGGTCTGCTCTGCTAATTTGGACCTACTCTTTAAAATTAACATTTCAGAAAAATGAAAGCACCTGCAGGTTGATTCATATCGATCAAGGCAAACCCTAAAATAGTGGTTCTTATAAGTTCATTATGTCACTATTTATTTCATTGCCCCCCTTTTTTTTTAAAGTCGCTTTAACTTTATAATGTAAAGCAAAGAAGCACTTATCTGTGGGATTGCTTTCCGTTTAGAAACCTCCATAACCAAGTTTTTTGCTTGAAGTCATTATGGCCCCTTCTTATTATGTGCCCTGTGATGCTTATTTCCAGATTGCCTCTAGCAAGTTCTAAACGTCTGGTTGGGTTTCCCGCTCCCCTTTAATTATTTCTCCCTACCATCTACTTACATGCCCCCCCCAAAAAAATGGCTTTTAATTTTATTGCCATTTTCAAACAACTTAATTAGAAAGGTAACGCTACTGACAAAAATGTATATTAAGATGATTTGTAAAATAAGATTATTCTTTTGGTGTTGGTGTCACTGGAATCCAACGCTAGTGCAGTTCATTGATTACTCTGTTATTGGGTTTAAGTGCCCAAATGGATTGCCACAAGTTCAACAGACACAAACAAAGTAAATTAGACTTCTCTCAAATATAGCAAGGAATTCTGCTGTCTTTACTCCACTTAGCCTGAGTGCCTCTTTTTCTTGCTGTGAAAGCATGAGTAACGGTTTTATGTTTTAGCATGAGGCTTCCTAGAATATTAGAGTCTAGCTGGGAGGAAGGAAGGGATCTGTGGATGTGGCTCTGGCACTTTTTCACTCCATATTAAACATTTATGGGGCTGAAGGGAAAATTGGCCCAAAGAATATCAATGTAATAGGTACCTCCTGCTAAACTGAACCTGCCCCTCTCTTCTCTGCAGAGGCGGTGCCCTGCTGACTTCCACCAGCGGCCCTGGTTTCCATCTCATGCTCCCTTTCATCACATCATATAAGTCTGTGCAGGTATATTTGGCTTGTATGGGATGGCTGGACAACTGCAGATTTGGGGTGTTGGCTAATGCATGATTTGGAACTAGTTAGCCATTGGGTGAGTGTGATGCCTTTTCAAGGAATCGTTTAAGAATAAGTTTCACAAATACGAAGAATGAAGCTCCATTAACTCTGAAGCTTTTCTGATTGTTGAAGTAGTTGAATGGAGTCCTTGCCGTGGCCCATCAGGCCCAGCTAGGAAGTGTTTCTTCATTTCAAATAGAAGAACCTGTTTTGAATGTATAGAAGGAAAAGTAGAGTGTGTGTGTGTCTGTGTTTTAAATCACAAGCTACCAAGATGGAGGGAAATAAAATATGGTAATTTTCTTGGTTCGTATTTGAACTTCAGAGATGAGAACATAATTTTGGGGAAAGACGAGGGAAGTTGAACTTGGTGAAGGGATATGACATCTAAAATAGGAGTAGGATTACTTACGTTAGACTAGCCATCTTTGAAGGATGTCCAATATCCTGGGATACTTCATCAGCATTATCCTTGTAAGTTTCTTCTGCCATGTACTCTGCCTTATGGTTTTCAAAGTTCCTTTATGCACATTATCTCATTTGGGTCTCACAGTGATCCTGAGAATGGGCTGAGCAGGTGCTATAGGCTGAGACAGGTTAAGTAAAGAATCTATTTCAAGACCAGTAAATGGAAGAGGGGATTCCTGTTCCAGGGTCTTTTTCACTAAACTAGTATTACCCAGCTCATTCATGTAGTGGTTCATTTATGATGAAAGCTGGCAAAGTATCTTTCTTTGGCTAGTCTCACACCTTCTAAGTCAGGAGGATTTAGAGGGGTATTCATGGTTAATAGAGACAAAGCTCAACCCAAATAGTTACTAAAGAACAAGGACATTTGGGATTCCAGAAATAAGTTACTTGTTTGTCACTGCCCATCTTACAGCATTTTGTGTCTCCTCTATTTCCAGACCACGCTGCAGACAGATGAGGTGAAGAATGTACCTTGTGGGACTAGGTAAGGTGCCTGGAATAAAGCTATTACGCCCACATAAGAGAAAGGGCTGGCTGATGTAAGAGACAGTGGAAAGGGAGTCACCCCTTGGTTTTATCACGTTCCCTGCTCCCTAGCTCCCTCTTCTGATTCCACTAGGTGGCAGAGTGCAGTAGAGAGAAATCACAGAAGTTAGGCAGGTTGGGAAGAGCTTCAAATGCTGTAAGAAGTTTGAACTTTAGAAGTGAGGATCCTCTAAAGGTTTTTAGCAGATAAGTGAGTTGATAGAGGAAAATAAGTTTAGCATAACTAACTATAGAGAATGCCTTAATGATGGGGAAGGCCTTAGGGCAGGAAATCCAAAGATGACATCACTAGTGATCTGGCTGAAAAGTAAAGGTCTAAACCGGGATGGAGCAGCACAATAAACAAGTCCACAGGAAACATTTGGAGAGTCCAGAATTGGAACAACCCATGGGATAACAGGTCTAATCTTGGCACGAAGTGGTATTATATTTGGACGGGCATTGGGTTGAAAAAGAGGCTAAAAGACAAACATATACAAAGGTGACCCTTAATTAGAACCTGGTCCAAAACTAATAGCTATAAAAACTTGATGAAACCATTATTAGTCAACGAGGGCTGCCATCACAATACCACACACTGGATGGCTTAAACAACGGAAATTTATTTTCTCAAGTTATAAAAGGTCAAAGTCCAAGATCGAAGTGCCAGCAGGATTGGTTCCTGGTGAAGCCTCTCTTCCTGGCTTGCAGTTGGCTGCCTTGCTTTGTTCTCGCACAGCCTTTTCTCTGCACCTGGGAGAAGAGGAGAAAAAGATGTCTTCTTCTTCTTCTTTTTTTTTTTTTTAACAAGTGCAATCAGTTACAAATCCCACCCTTATGACCTCATTTAACCTTAACTAAGGGTCCCATCTTCCAGTATAGTCGCATTGGGGGTTAGAAATTCAACATACAGATTTAGGAGGGCACATAATTTAGACTATAATGGGAATCATTGGAGAAATTTGAATAAATGAATATTAGATAATGTTAAGGAATTATTGTTGATTTTTAGGTTTGGGAATGGTTGGTTTTGTGACTATATTTCAGAGCTTACCAGTGACTTCTTTGTCCATTCTTCCTCTTAGTGGTGGTGTGATGATCTACTTTGACAGAATTGAAGTGGTGAACTTCCTGGTCCCAAGTGCAGGTACAGTTTTCCAGTTGACCCCTATCACCAGCTTACTTTCCCCAAGATGCAATCCTAGTGTCTGTTGCAGCACTCAGGAAGGGAGATCTTCAATGTCTGAGAAAGGTTTTTGGTTTTTTATTTCCTTTTTATTGAATTTATTAGAGAGCCAATGCACACATTCGTGCACAGGTGAAGTCTGGCCCCAACCAGTGCAGATTGGGGCCAGGCTTGTCAGGAGGTGGAGATGGTGGGAGGTTGGCCAGCTGGCTCACCAACAATCAGGGCCAGGCTGACCAGGGGGGAGGGGCCGTAGGTTGACTGGCCAGCCCTGTCCCTGATTGGTGTGGGGAACCAATCGGGCAGGGCCAGCCAGGGGGGAGGTTCCATGGATGGTTGGCTGACCAGCACGGCCTCTGATCGGAGTGGGGGCCTGATTGGGAGTGGAGCTGGCTGGGGGAAGAGGCCACGGGCCTATAGGGATGGTGGGGGCTCATCATGGGCAGGGCCAGCCAGAGGTAGAGACAGTTGGCCAGTCCTGCCCCTAATTGGAGGGGGGGGGGGGTCACAGGAGGTTGGAGGGCCAGTCCTGCTCCCTATTGAGGTAAGGGGAGAGATCAGTAGTGGGGCCAGCTGGGGGAGGGACTGTGGGAGGTTGGCTGGCAGGCCCCACCCACAATCAGGCATATTACCTGGTGGCACTGGTCATTACAATGGTCTGGTTGCTGGCTTTTTATATATATAGATTGGGGTGACACTAGTTAAAAAAATTATAGTGGTTTCAATTGCACAATTCTACAGCACTGTATTGTGTGTTCAACACCATTTACTCTTCACCTCTCTGCACCCCCACCGCTCCTGTCAATCAGCACACTGTTTACATCCTTTGGTATTTTTTTTGCATAATTCCTTCACCCCCCTCCCAGTGTCAGTCACCCTTCCCAACAGCTGTCATCCTGCTCTCTATATATGAGTCTGTCTCTATTCTGCAAGTTTTGAAACCTGCCTTTTATTCTGGAATCTCCATTCCCTTCCAGTATATGATATAGTGAAGAACTATACTGCCGACTATGACAAGGCCCTCATCTTCAACAAGATCCACCATGAACTGAACCAGTTCTGCAGTGTGCATACACTTCAGGAGGTCTACATTGAGCTCTTTGGTAAGAAGTCTCTTCTGATTAGAGCCTGCATTAACAGCTCTACTCCCCCCCACTGCCTACTTCTGTGCTTCCCATAGGGTAAGATGGGTACTGCTGGACAGCAGGTGTTAAAAGATCCAGTGCTCAGGAACAGGTCACAAAGGGCATTCCCAGAAAATGCTGGTGGCAATGGAAGATCATGAGAGTAGTTGAGCTTTGGGCACAGAAGTAACAGTGGACTACAGGACTCACTCCTGGCCAGAGTTAGAGAGCTGGAATGGAAATGTGTTTCATGGTCCCTAAAATATTCTGTAATGAAGACAGGCTCAGTTCTAGAAGAACCTTAGAGATTATCCAACTCAACATCCTTATTTTAAGATAAGGGAACCAAACCACAAAAAAAGTCGTAGAGCTAATTGTTAGCAGCTGAAGCTAGAACCTCCCTCTTCTGGCCCTCACTTTGTGTGCTATCCATCACATCACTGAATGAAAGGCACCCAGGGAAGGGTGAGGAAAACGGGACAGTTCACTTTTAATTTAGAAGTGGGACAAGGACCATAGCCTCTTACAGTTTCTAGAACCTTCGTGGGAGTTTTATTTATTATTTTACTTACAGAAATGAATAGGAGAAAACTTAGAACAAAAAGGGTCTACATCCTTAAGTAGACATTTCTTGTCCTTTTTTCCTGGTCAAAGTAAAAATAACCTGACTTCAACAAAGGAAGGAAATATTTCAGTAATTGTTATAGCTGTTAGGTGGAAAAATGTTCTATTTAAACTTGCTACTGGAAGTTGTCTAGTAGCCAATGCTAAAAGTAAATGGCTTTGCCGAAACCGGTTTGGCTCAATGGATAGAGCGTCAACTTGGGGACTGAAGGGACCTGGATTCGATTCCGGTCAAGCGCATGTACCTTGGTTGCGGGCATATCCCCAGTGGGGGTGTGCAGGAGGCAGCTGATCGATGACTCTCTCCCATCGATGTTTCTAGCTCTCTATCTTTCTCCTTTTCTCTCTGTACAAAAACAATAAAATATATTTTAAAAAAATAAAATAAAATAAAAAAATAATAATAAAAGTAAATGGCTTTTCAACCCATAATACAACTATTCTTGACACTAGGACTGGACAGTTATTTTTCCCAGGAATCTTCATAAAAAGGATCCTGAGTGAGAACATTTTTAGAGTACACGGAAGGAGGAATCATTGATGTTGCCAATGGCCTTAATTAAGCAAACAGCCTTTTGCACTGTGTTTCAGATTTGGGAAATTATCAGAATCACTTTTAATTTTCTGCAGTAGAAAATGAATCTAAATTCACAAAATAGGGCTTAGAATCTTTTATTGGGGTTCGATTCAGTGCACTTTTAGGAAAAATTTGGTAAATTTGCTATATTTTTTAACCTCCAACCAATAGAATTTTATAAAATATTATTAGTTTTCTTTCTAGCCCTTGTTTTACAAACATGTGCCATTAAATCAACATTTGAAATTAAAAAAGACAAAGGATCTCTAATTTCCATGAAGAGGAAATTAAAATATGAAATTGTTTTGCATTAGAAAACTTATTATCTTAGTAAAGTATAGCTTCTGTACAAAGGAACTGAGAAAATGCGATTTGTTTTGTTTTGTTTTTTTGTTGTTGTTTTTTAATATATTTTATTGATTTTCTACAGAGAGGAAGGGAGAGGGATAGAAAGTTAGAAACTTCGATGAGAGGGAAACATTGATCAGCTGCCTCTTGCACACCCCCTACTTCAGAGGTGCCCACAACCAAGGTACGTGCCCCTGACCGGAATCAAACCTGGAACCTTTCAGTCTGCAGGCTGACACTCTATCCACTGAGCCAAACTGGTTTTGGCCAATTTTCTTTGAGATATTTTTTATTTTTTAAAGTTCAATGTTGCTTGAAAGCTCTGTTTTACTGAAACTATATTTGCATCTGTAAAGGAGACACTATAGTCTCTAATCCTGTTCCTTAACCATCGAAAGTTTTGTTTCCTCTAGTTTCCTCCTCTCGAGACTCCTATCCCTGACTTCCTACACGATTACATAGTTCTCATCACTGCTTACTCTGACACATCCTCTTTTCCCATTTTATAAAAATACTAGTGGCCCAGTGCACAGATTCATGCACATTGAAAAGAAAATAATTAGAAGAAATATTTTAATAATCGCTATTCGCCCTTTCTCTATAATAGAAGTGTCAGCCAGATTCATGATTAACAATGACAGATGGAAATACATATGTGTAATTGGCATAAGCGAGAGCTTTATATATAAGACTAGAGGCCTGATACACAAAATTCGAGCCAGAATAGGCCTTCCTTCGCCTGGGGGGAAAGGCATGAGGAAGGGAAGAGGAATGTGGGGGGGGAGGGTAGGAGGGCATGGGGAAGGGGAAAACATTTCAGTAATTGTTATAGCTGTTAGGTGGAAAAATGTTCTATTTAAACTTGCTACTAGAAGTTATCTAGTAGCCAGTGCTAAAAGTAAATGGCTTTTCAACCCATAGTACAACTATTCTTGACACGGACTGAACAGTTATTTTTCCCAGGAATCTTCATAAAAAGGACCTTGAGGAAGAACATTTTTAGAGTACACGGAAGGAGAAATCATTGATGTTGCCAATGGCCTTAATTAAGCAAACAGCCCGGCTACTGGCACCAGCTTCCCTCTGATACCCGGGACCTGGGCTTCACTCTGGCCCCGGCTTCACCCAAAAAGACGTCCACAATGATAGCCAGTATAATTAACATATTAATTTCTTTATTATTATAGATAAACTTGCTTAATTAGATCTGCTTTCTGATTTGCTAAACTTTTTCCAGCCCAGGGAAGCACCCCAACTTCTCTTTTAGGTCATTGTCAGCAACATAGCAGTAAATATCAACACGAAGCAAATTATTATTATAGATCACGCAGGGAGAACAAAGGGTAAAATATTTAACTGCAGCAGTGTTTGACTATATTCTGTGCAGTGAGAAAACCTGAAGTCATTTTTAAGGTCCACCATTTCTTCTTTTCAGTCAAATCAGTTTTCTAAACTTTCTAAATCTGTTTTCCGGCTAATGAAAAGAAAATAGGATTCAACCAAGTGTCCTATCTACCTACTCCAGGACTTATGTTAGGTTCAAATGAGATGAGGCACGTGAAAACGCTTCACAGGCATTTGGTTACAGTGTGAAATGTTTGCACCTGGCTGTAACACAAGTCATGTTCTTGGCCAAGAAACTCCAAGGAGCTAGTCACTAAGGAGAGGAAACCAGGCGTTGCCACGTGACGTCATTACCCGGCACCCATTTCTAGGCTGGGCTGGGTTGTGGGCTGCATTTTGAGCCATGGGGTCTTGGCAGCATTGGCTGCTATTTGGTGGGCTATCACTCTGAGGTGGTAGTGGGGCCTGTGTCCCACTTGGGAGAAGCCACGTGTTGCTTTGTCAGCACCAAATCTGCCGTACCATCTATACTAATAAAAGGGTAATATGCTAATTAGACCAGGTCGACCAGACATCTTCTGGGCATTCGAGTTCCTTCCAGACAGAGGGCCACCAGGCCAACAGGGGGACAGTTAGGGGACAGTTAGGGGGACAGTTAGGGCCACCAGGCTGACAGGGGTGCGATCAGGCTGGCAAGTAGGGGCAGTAAGGGGCAATCAGGCAGGCATGTGAGCAGTTAGGAGCCAGCGGTCCCAAACTCCAAGAGGGATGTCCAACTGCTGGTTTAGGCCCTATCCCGCAGGGCAATTGGACATCCCTTGAGGGATCCCAGATTGGAGAAAGTGCAGGCCAGGCTGAGGGATGCCTCCCTCCTTGGATGAATTTCATGCACCAGGCCTCTAGTTTCCTTATAAATGGGATGTGCGCATCACAGCCACTCCTTCATTGAGCGTCTGCCCACTGGTGGTCAGTTTACGTCATAGCAACCAGTCAGATGGTCAGAAGGACACTTAGCATATTAGTCTTTTATATATATATAATCTAGTATTTATTCAAGAGTTTACCTGGAGAACCTGTGTATACTTGATAATATAACTTAACATTTATCAGCCTAACTGTAACATAAAAAACTTATTACTAGTATTACTTTGGTAATAAACCACATTTCAAAATATTTCTTCCAGATTTTCCTGAAAGTTACCAGCCCAGGGCCACAGGTTTCTACCTTGACTCAGATATAATTTTCTGATAAATAACTGTGTTGTTATTAACTTACAGAGGATATAGGCCATCTTACTTAAAGTTTGGTGGGTATCCTATTTAAAATAGAAAATGTAAAATGTAATGTTTCTCTCCAGCTGTCAAATTGTTAGGCCAATGTTAGGTGCAAGGTACTGCCTTTATGGGCATTTCTCTCAGTGCCTAAGAGGCTCGTGAGAGCATAACCAAAAAATGGAAACATTCAAATCCCTTGCTCACTGATACGACAGTTGAAAAAATTACTGTTTTAAACTATGATATTCAAAACATATAATTAAGCAAGTTCGTTATTTTGGTTACTAACTGGCTTGAGCACATCTCAGCCTCCATGGACTTCCATCTATAAAAGGCAGGAGTTAAATTTGCCATTTCTCAAAGTTCTCCTGTTTGGGCATACAAGTAAGTGACCAAGGATGGCCACTTAAAACAGGTGGCAACTGACAATAAGGGAGGTGATTGAGTTTAGATGTCCCAGCCTGGTTTTTCTTGGTGCCCTTCTAGGATCTTATTGAGGCTCTCAGGCCAGAGAAGGCAGCCTGGTGCTGCTGTCCTGGGATCACAGCTAGAAGGGGAGTCAGTTATAGCTCTTCCTACACTTGTCTGTGAAACGACCCACATGTGAATTCCAGGCAAGGGAATCAGGACCAAAGCAAACAACACATCAAAAGACTTGGACTCGTTTCTAGAACTGGAAATTTTTATATTCCCCTTGTGTCATTTCATGGAGTTCCTAATGGAAATAGTCTTCCTTGGGGCTTCCTTGACGTCAGAATCTGTTTTTCTTTTAGAAACAGCTAAAAGTACTAGATTTAATGTGCTCGGCTCTTTTCAAAATATTTAACAGGGCCATTCCATATTCTTTCTTCTTGAAAACTGGGTGCCTGTCTTCCGTTTTGCTCCTGTTGTATTGAGAAAGACTGTTGCCTGCCTTGAGAAATGTGCTGGAATTATTGTTCTTTTCCTTTTTAAAACTCAGTCCTCTTTTGAGCGAGATTGATATTTTCAATAACCTAGGGATTCTCTCTTGAGGCCACAGACAAAGGATATGCTCACATCCAACTGAGTAGAGGGACTGCGGGGCATGTTGCTCCGAAAGTCTTGCTGGAGAACTTTAGATTTCTGGGCTACTATAAGCACTTTACCTTGGGAAGGCCTTTTGCTTGTGAGGTGCATTCTTTACCTCTACCCCGTATTCCCCTCCACTCTACTCGATAGTGTGACCGCTCCTTTTCCTGTCTTTCTTGATTCCAGATCAAATTGATGAAAACCTCAAACTGGCTTTGCAACAGGACCTGACCTCCATGGCCCCTGGGCTTGTCATCCAAGTAAGCATTGCCACCGTGGGAGCGTCCCCTGATGAAGGTGCATCCCCTCTTTCAAGGGATGTCCTTTCTGTGCAGGAAGATCGAGGACCAAGGGGAAGCTGCTTACCTTGGTCACCCTCACCTTCGCCTTCTCATCAGGTGCTCTTTTTATCCTTCCCCAGGCTGTGCGGGTGACAAAGCCCAATATACCTGAGACGATCCGCAGAAACTACGAGCTGATGTGAGTATCCTCTGCCTAAGCCATAACCACCACTCTCTCCCACCTCCCCCGCATCCCATCCCAGAGTTAACAGAAGCTGTGCCATGCTTTTATTCTCCTCCTTGAGTACTTGTCACAGCCCACTGCACTGTAGGATGGAGCAGGTGTGTCAGGACGGTCACCGGGGCTCTGTAACTGTGATTGAGAGCCACGGAGAAGCCCTTTTGAGCAGTGATGCTTTTAAAGGGAGCAGGGGGGCCTTTTCTGTGCTTCATGGCTCATGCCTAAGAAGATAGGAGGGAAAGACAATTAAGTGGGCAGGCAGGTGTATTTTACTAATGGCCACTTAAAGCAGATGGCAGCTGACAATAAGTAAATTATGCTCTGTTTCCCACAAATGACTTATTTTGGAGGAAGAGCAGAGCTGCACTACTGTCGGCAACAAATTTGTTTTTACCTGGGACATTGAACAGCCTACCAGGGGAGAGTAAGAAATCAGGGCTCCTCTCCTCAGAAGTGTTTGGCTTCTCCAGGAGACAGTGAGGTTCCTCGGAAGCTTTTCCACAGTGGCCTCACAATTGTATACTCTTATTCCCCTCCAGGGAAAGTGAGAAGACAAAGCTGCTCATTGCAGCCCAGAAACAGAAGGTGGTGGAAAAAGAAGCTGAGACAGAGCGGAAGAAGGCGCTCATTGGTCTGGATGTGATTCTGTGACCCCCTTTTCAGGGCAGAAGGGCTGGGGATGGTGGGAAGAGTCGAGGAAACCTTAGGCACAGTTAGACCACGTGGTTCTCCAAATCCTTGCCACACATAGGAGTGGCTTTCATACTCCCAGAAGCAAAGCTGAAATTGTCAGATCATGGCCTGGGTGATAAGTTTTGAGTTTCCAAATACCTCTTTTTTTTCACCTGATATGCTTTTTATTGGTTTTAAAGAAGAAGGGAGTGAGGGAGGGAAGGGGGGGGGGACATAAACATAGATGTGAGAGAGAAAACTTTGATCGGTTGCTTCCAGTATGTACCTAACAAGGGTTCAAACACACAGCCCGGGTATTTGCCCTGACCAGGAACTGAACCTGCTATCATTCCATGTGCAGGACGATGCTCCAACCAGCTGAACCACACAGCCAGGGCCTACATAATCATTTACTTCTCTTTTCTGAGCTGAAGCACAGAGAGACTAAATAGCATACCCAAGGTCATAGGGCAAGTTAAGTGGTGGAACTGGGCTCAGATACCAGGACCCTGCTCCAAACCTGGGTTCTTCATCACTGTACTGGACCATCAACAATGAACCTGACTACTGCCTAAGATGAGGTGGCAGGAAGAAACTTTTCAGAGAGTACCTTATTCCTTAAAACATTCCTTTGGGAGAAATAACCCTTGTGACTTAAGAGAGAGATTAGGATTTGTTCCTTGCTTTCATCACGGTAACAGTTCTCCTCACTTGGGCCCCGTCTCCCCAGTTACTGTCTTGAGCTGAGGTGGTTTGTGCTTACTGGTACACTCCATCTGCCCATGTGTCCCTGTCACGGCTCCATCTGTGCTTACCCACACTCTGCCACCAAGGCCTCTGATCAGGTGAAAGGTGGAATTGAGTCAAACTTGAAATACCAGCTCTAAGCCTTTTCTCAACTTGATTAACATAGAGGCAGAAAAGGTGGCTCAGGTTGCAGAAATCACCTATGGACAGAAGGTTATGGAGAAGGAAACTGAGAAGAAGATTTCAGAAATTGAAGGTAAGTGAAATTAATGCCTGAATTTTCCTTAAAACCATTTTGTGGGGGCGGGGGGGGGGGGGGGGAGTCATTTCCTTTGCTCTTTAAGCCCCATTCTAAGATCTCTTGATTTATTTGGAACATCACTATTTCTCTGCTTTCACTGTGGGGAAGATTTGGCATTAATTTTCCACTTCAGAGAGCATTCATTCATTCGACAAATGCTAGTTGTGTGCCATTAGGCACTTATGTTAGGCATGAGAAAAAGGGTGGGAAGCTCTGAACCAGGTGGTCCCTCCTGCCTTACCCACCCTGCCTGAGAAGTCTTCGAACTCCATAGCTCTGGCCTCAGCCTGCTCTCAGGTTCTCTGTAGATGTTGAGCCGAGTATGAAGACAGCACCTTTTCAGCACCAACAACAGGAGTTGGAGGGAAGTGTTCCTTTGCTGACTTTCTTCTATGTCACTCACCTTCAATTCCCTGCCTCTCAGCCCTCACCTCATTCCCATCACCCACCTTTTTCCTTCACATGCTATATTCTAGGGCAGAAAGGGGACCTGAAGACCCAACTTCAGGCTACTACAAAATGCTGTGTCCAGTTACACTCATTATGGGGCCTGCCAGCTTTGTAGGAACCTATCAGGGAGCCAGTTAGGATATTAGCGAGCCCTTAGCAAAGCAACACATTTTTATTTCTTATATTAATAAATACGTGTATCAGGTGCTAAGGCCAGTTAAGTCAGTTGCTCGCAATCCAAACTGCAGTCAAGACTGTAGGCTCCTTCCACCCAGAGTCAGGCTGAGGGTGTGCAGTAAGGACCCACCCACAGACTGACCTTTCCTCCTAGGCTTTTTGCTACTCACAGGAGACTGGCCTTATTCCCTAGGCAAGGAAGTAAACACCAAAAACTTTGCATCAACTTGAAAGCTGGTTTTGTCAGATTGAGAAAATATATTGCTTATGTAGAAGTTTAAGTAGGTCTTAAACCAAACAGGTGTTAGTCTGGACCAGGGTTTATAATTCTCTTAGAGTTTTGCCAGCTTAACCCCTGTTAATTAGAACCTTTTTGAAACAGTTAATGGAAAGAAAAGGGAAATGAAGTTGGAGAGGGACCTAACTATTTCATGGAAGTCAGTGTTAGGGTGGATCCGCCTCGGGCTGTATTCAGAGCCTTCTTTAGGCGTTTGCTGTGTAGCATAAGAGGGATGAGGTGGAAAGCTCTGAACCAGGAGTTGAGGCAGGGTCCCTCTCCAGACCTGGAACTACAAACAGAATAAGAGTGCAGAAACAGCCAAAACCGGTTTGGCTCAGTGGATAGAGCGTTGGTCTGCGGACTGAAAGGTCCCAGGTTCGATTCCAGTCAAGAGCATGGTTGTGGGCACATCTCCAGTGGGGGGTGTGCAGGAGGCAGCTGGTCAATGTTTCTCTCTCATCGATGTTTCTAACTCTCTATCCCTCTCTCCCTTCCTCTCTGTAAAAAATCAATAAAAATATATTTTAAAAAATAAAAAAAGAGTGCAGAAACAGGAAGTGTCTGGGCAGCTGTGCTTTTCTCAATAATGCTGTCAGATAAGGTGTTGGCACTGCAACAGACCTCCTCATGACCCACCACAGGGAGATGCAGGCAGAGCACTTTACCCCTATTTCACAGATGAGAAAGAGCACTCACCCCAGGGTCACAGAGGCACCCGGGAAAAGTTACAGGGACCAGACCCAGGTTTTTGGTGGCCTCTGCACTTCAGTTCACTGCATTTCCCCCTCAGACGCTGCGTTTCTGGCACGGGAGAAGGCAAAGGCTGATGCTGAGTGCTATACTGCTATGAAAATGGCCGAAGCAAATAAGGTAAACAATCAGTGCCGCCTGGCAAAGAGAACTCGTATTTGGGTTTAGGCTAATTTTGTTTGTTCCAGTGTGGGAAGACCTCCAAAGCCCCTCGGGGCCAGAAGTGGTAACTCCTGTGCTGTGTGGGACAGGTTCTTCCCTTTTCCTTAGCAGTGTCTTGATGGAAGTGTAATTTTTGTGTTAAAAATGTTTGTATGTAGCCGAAACTGGTTTGGCTCAGTGGATAGAGTGTCAGCCTGCGGACTGAGGGGTCCCAGATTCGATTCTGGTCAAGGGCATGGTACCTTGGTTGTGGGCACATCCCCGGGGGAGTGGAGGGAGGGGGCGTGCAAGAGGCAGCAGATTGATGTATCTCGCTCATCGATCTCCCTTTCTCTCTGTAAAAAAAAAAAAAAATCAGTAAAAATATTTTTTTTGTTTGTGTTAAGAAACATGGGAAATCCTAAAACTCTTGCAGCTCTAGCCTTGAAGAGCTGAGATAACTCCCTCCTAGAGAAGTGGTTACCCTATCACTAATGTAACAATGTGGCCAGGAAAAGGAGAGGGTATGTGTCTTTGACTGAGACCCTCTCCTTATGACAAGTGAAAAAGTGTCACCCATAGTTTCCTCTAATCTGGCTCCATCTGAGTCTTCTTTACTTCTTACTTTTGCAGCTGAAGCTAACCCCTGAATATCTGCAGCTGATGAAGTACAAGGCCATTGCTTCCAACAGCAAGATTTACTTTGGCAAAGACATCCCTAACATGTTCGTGGACTCTGCAGGTAGTCTGGGCAAGCAGTTTGAGAACCTCGCTGACAAGCTGAGTTTTGGCTTAGAAGATGAACCCTTGGAGGCAGACCCGGAGGAGAATTGAAAAAAATTTTTTTATATAACCTCAGATGACACTTAAAGAGATCTTTATTTTTTAATGATGAACCAGGATGCCCCTCCCTCTCACACAACCTTCTTTGACTGTCTTCCAAGTACTGTGGTGAGAAACAAAGAAATGGACTTAAATCTATCCCCATGGGAATGAAGGGCAGGGATTGATGATTTTGGGATATTATTTCTGCTATAAGTAGGTTATATGACTTCTGTTAAGATTTGTAAACCACAGGTTTGAACTTTGACCTCCAGGCACTAATTATAGTCCTTTGAAGCTGGCTTAATTAAGGATGCTATCATTAAGGAATGGGAAAAATAGAAGGTGTTGCCTATTTTTAGGTGATTTGATTTCCCTTATTTGGGAATACACAGTCCAGATTTCTCTCCCCTGCCTCCAAGGTGGGAGATGCCTCTAGGTGAGGCTCACACTGAGCAAATAAGTGCTTGTAAATTTGCCAGGAAAGCCGTGGGGAAGCATCTGTGAGTTTGGCTTTCCTGGTGTTTTTGGCAGTGCATGCATGAGTTATTTCAGAGGGCTGCTCTTGAGCCCCCATAAGGAAGAACCGGTGCTAGATTTTGCTAGCTTTTCTCTACACACTACCCTCCTTGCCCTAGGGATTAACATGGTGGTTTTGGACTACACTGCCAGTCAGGGTTTGGTCATCACCACACAATTCTTTTTAAAACTTTTAACCTATTCTGTGATTTGTGTTTTTTCCCCTCTCAGTCTGTTCAGTGGTTCCAGACAGCATCAAGAAGACAGGAACAAACAACTCAAGTATCTTAATAGCTGCTAAAGTGGGATCATTATGTCTGTTAGCCACTATCATACTTGTTTGGCAAACTTTGTACGTTCCTTGAAATCAAATATCTTTCTTTCCTTTTTTTTTTTAATCTGCATCCAAGGATATGTGTTGTTGTTTTTATTGATTTGAGAGAGGAAGAAACACGGATTGGTTGCCTCCTCTATGCGTGCTGACTGGGGATCAAACCTGCAGCCTTTTGATGCATGGGACAATACTCAACCAACTGACCACCCGGCCAGGGCTAGAGCAGGTGTCTTTTTATTGCTGTAAAGAGTCAGAATTGAAGAGCTCCTTTGAAAAAGAAAGCAGGGTCATCCAAAAGCCTTCCTAATTTTGATGTATATGGCTTGTGCTGGGAGTTTATCTGGTGTTGTGATAGCACATGTTTTAAATCCAGGGCTCTAGGCAGCCACACAGGAATCAGACTAAATGTTCAATTTCTATGAACAGCTGTGTAAGAGCAAATCAGAGTTCTTGCCCAAGTAACCTGGGTTGCATCCAATTCTGTTTAAATGTTTTCTTTTTCATTACTAATTAGAAAAAGTTTGAGTGACTCTGGAAGATTTGGAATGGGGGAGAGCAAACATGAAAGGAAGGTTTTCCTAATCTTGGAATTGGAGTTGGGCATCGGGGGGTGGGGTGGGTGGTCAGCCTATAGAGCCCAAAGTGTGTACTAAATTATTGAGTGCAGCTATCTGGAGTTAACTTGCAAGCATGTTGCTATTCTCCATGACTAGCTTGGGTTTAGGATTTGGCCTTGTTATTAGTAGCTACCCACCCCACCCCCCAAAAAAATACTCCCACTATACCCCCTTTCCCCTCAGTGAAACTAGAATGCTACTTTCTGGCTCAAGCCCCCACCTCCCCCCACTCCCTCCTCCTTTTTTGGTCCACAGCCCAGACCTCTAGTTTATCAAATGGCCCCAGAACTCATGCCAGTTTGCTCCAAATAGCAAGTTTGGGGAACAGCCACCTAGGAAGAAACAAAGTGTCAGGTGTTTCCCTTCTCTTTTCTACTTTTGGGGACTAGAATTCTCAAACCACTGGTCCTGATCACACTGTGCAGGCTGCCAAATGTTTCTGAGAGGGGTGTATTTGAATGTGCTCAGAAGGCCCGCAGTCTCCCGAGACCACTGTTAAGCTATACACCCCCTACTCCCATTTCAATGCCATTAATCACTTGTTAGGAGCAGCATATTTCATCCAGAATCCCTGATTTACATATTTGTCTGCTCCCTCTCCTCTGAGACTTGCTACCTAGGTCACAGTAGACCCTACTTCACTACAACTGGATGAGGAGCAAAAGTATCTCAGCTTCTTAGACTAGTGCGTTTGCTCAGATTCTTTATGTTGGAAGCCTCTAAAACTAACATCCTGTGATGATAGCTTGTCCCTTGCACTGCATACTCTTGGACCACAAAAATCAGCATCAATAAAGTCCTGCAGCTCCTGCCCCCTCTTTGCTAATGTCACTTCCCCTTTAAAATATAATATATAAATGTTGTAGTACCCACTAGTTTAAATCCAGTGGTTGTCTGTACCTGCCTGAATAGTACGATCATGGAATCGGCTCTTTCCTTAGCATGGGATAGCCATGTCTGTCAGTGTGACTTTCTTGAACACTTACTAGAAAATCTGATCTTAGCATTTGAATTCTAAATACATAAAATGTGATCGCCTGCAATTTTGTAGGCAGTAAAGTCGTGGCTGCTATTTATAAATGGAACTTCAATCAAAATAAGTAACTGTTTATAAAATTCAGTTTTTGTAGGATTTTCCAAGGAAAAGTCACCTTGGTTGAATGTTTCTCATTAAACTTTGCAGAAGTGATTCATATTCAGTACTGTTTTTAATCACTTTTTATATAAGAACAGAATGTTTACAAGGAAGCAAGAGTTTGTTAATAACTTTTATATAACAAAATAAAATAAATTTGGAGGTACCTATCATCATATTAAGTTGAGAAAGAAAAAAAATCACTGAAAGAATTTTTGTAACACAGCAGGTCCTCAAATAACATTGTTTCATTCTGCAAAGTTTTGTTATACATTGATGAGATGCCATAGGAACTTATCTCTTGTTTATGTCACCTATTTTAATATTCTAATATTAGATTCTTGTTATAGAAATGACTCTGAAACAAATGATATGCTGTTTTAATTGTCTTGGGTTGACAGCTAGAGGAATTGTTTTGGACAACACCAAAGGTGTGAACTTATGTCTTAGCTTTATTTTCAGTCTTGCTAAATAAAATGAGTCTTTTATTTACTTTTTTATTAAAGCGAAATTTAGCAATAGCTAATATTATTGTATATTAATCAAAAAAAATAAGTTTATAAGTGTTTTGTTGCAATTTCTACGGGTCTAACTTTCAACACTGGTAAGTTTATCACTTATAGAGAGTAAATAGTGGAAATAAGATCATCATAAATACTGACTTATTTAAGTTTGAGGATAAGATGTACAGATGCTCTTTAACTTAAATATCATTTAGTTGAAAATATGTTTATACACCTAGCCTACTGATCATTTTAGCTTAGCATAGCCCAGTGGTCAGCAAACCGCAGCTCGCAAGCCACATGCAGCTCTTTGGCCCCTTGAGTGTGGCTTGGAGTTAGAACCACTTATTCAAAATAAACTCCCTCAGGCTGAAAACTGACTTCTACGCATGGGCCATGAAGTTTCAATTGCACAGTATGTGCGCTCCCAAACATGGTATTTTGTGGAAAAGCCACACTCAAGGGGTCAAAGAGCCACATGTGGCTAGTGAGCCGCGGTTTGCTGACCACTGGCATAGCCTATCATAAATGTGCTCAGGAACATTTACAGCCTACAGTTGGGCAAAATCATCTAACACAAAATCTATTTTTAAAAAGTATTGAATATCTCATGAAATTTATGTGTATCACTTTGGCACCATCATCAAGTAAAAAAAAATCATATAAGTAGGGGACCATCTGTATCTTGTGTAGCAGCTATTCTGAGTCTATGAACTTAGCCACTATTCCTTTAGTTCCATTCAGTAGGGGGCCTAGCCACTGTTTTTTATTGTCCTTTATAATAAAAGGCCAGAGACGGTGATGGCATCACAACCATAGCGACTGTTAGACCAGAACCACCATGGCCCCTCTCCAGGCTAGCCCTGCCCACCAGCAAGTGGTTAGAGGTGATCAGGCAGGCAGAGCAGTTAGGGATGATCAGGCAGGCAGACCAGTGGTTAGAGGAGATCAGGCAGGCAGAGTGGTTAAGAATGATCAGGCAGGCAGACCAGCGGTTAGGGGTGATAAGGTAGAAAGGCAAGTGGTTAGGGGCAACCAGGTAGGCAGGCTAGCATTTAGGGACAATCGGGTAGGCAGACAGCCCCTTTGATGGGCTGGCCCTACCCCTAAGCAAGTAGGTAGGTGCCATCAGGCAGGCAAACAGAGTGGTTAGGGGCAATCAGGCAGGTAGGCAGGTAATTGGTTAGGAGCCAGTGGTCCAGATTGCAAGAGGAATGTCCAACTACCGCAGGGATTGGGCCTAAACCAGCAGTTGGACATCCCCCAAGAGGTCCTGGATTGGAGCAGGTACAGGCCAAGCTGAGAGACAACCCCCCTCCTATGCTACAGGCCTCTAGGTTTTTTTTATAAAAACAATAATAGCCAATCATTTTGTGTTAGTATTTCCATTCCTTTTTATTATTATTATTATTGATTTTGAGAGAGAGCGAGAAAACATCAATGTGAAAGAGAAACTAATCAGCTGCCTCCTGCACGCACCCCAACCTGGGGTAGAACCTGCAACCTGGGTACATGCCCTGGCTGGGAATCTAACCCACCACCTTTTGGTGTCCCGATGACACTCCAACCAAATGAACCTCACCAGCCAGGGTAAGGATCTCCATTCCTTTCATTTCTCCTTTTATGTAAGCAGGTGATTTAATAAACTAAATCTAGTTTCAAAGAGCTCTGAGGGTTTAATGACTCCCTTTGTAACTGAAAAATGATTCTTGTTATAGTAATTCCTCTATAAATGAATGATATGCTGGATTAATTGCCTTGTGTTGACAGCCAGAGGAATTGTTTTGGACAATACCAAAGATATGAACTTATATCTTAATTTTATTTTTAGTCTTGCTAAATAAAATAAGTATTTATATTTATTTTTTTATTAAAGTGAAATTTAGCAATAGCTAATATTAGGA